TCTTGAAAATAAAAAGTTTTCATATAATATCCCAAAAATAAATGGCACCGAAAAAAAGGAAAGAATAAAAACTTTTTATATAAGCTTCAGAATTTATCTGCCGGGTGGGTTGAAGTGCCTTTACCGATTTTCACCAGGTTATTTTCGCACACCTCTTTTGGAACTTTCGTGCTGACCACTACAAGAGTCTATCCTGATAAAAATACGAACACAATAATCAAAAATCATGGCAACAGACAGTGAAATGACACCTGTCTGTCAGTTGTATAGTGCCTCGGTCCCTTGCTACGCTTGATTTGGCCTGAAAACTTTTGAATTTGCATATTTTAGTAGCCGGAAAAGTTCCTTTCATATTTTTTAACCCACTCCTCTGGTGGCTACCACAGTCCTTTTGCATTTCCCATTGTTTGGAAATGAACAGCGAACAGGACAGGGACTGACTTTTCCGATTCCTTATTGGTGTTGCACCACCTCAGTTATACATCTAAATATATTTTACAAAATATTCTTTTCATCCACCCCATTTCTATGCATTTATTGATTGAGGTTGGCAAAGTGAAATAAGCAAAAGAGCAGAACATCGAATATGATAACTGAAAACATGACAAAATCATAAATATTGAATACAGACTGGACTGAAAAAAATAAATAGATAAAAACAAATAAATAATATTAAATAAATGTTAGGATAAATGTAATCCTATGATACTTTATTTAAAGTTATGTGATATGTTCTTTAAAAGATAATAAAGAGTTTTTTAAGTTGAAACTATTTTTCCACCTGTTCTAAGACTCTTGCTAGACAACAAAAACCACAATTGTTTGGCAAGTTCGAAATGCCAATGGGTAAAGCTTATTGAATCATTTCACAGCAAAATACAGCAAAAACGAGAACTACAACAATGGCAATAATAATCAGCATATGCAGATCCGAACAGCAATTGACGTTTGACATAGGAACATAAATGGGGGAAATGGGGGTTGTGAATAAAACAAAGCCATTCGAATGCATTGGTGAAAAAGTTGAGCATCTATCTCTTAGGTTCGTACGCCCCATCACTTCCGAGTTCTCCCCCACTACCCACTCTTGAGTTCTTATCGGTGGCTGTCATAAAAGTGTGGAGCATTTTCAGCTACGTCATCGTCAGCAACAATGATGTGGAAAAGGCAAAAAGGGGATTCCCCTGGCATCCCTGGCACATGCTCACCCTCATATCTTGTCAAGTTTTCCGAAGTGGGAGGGAGGGCAAATGTTTAGAGTCTATAATCTTCAAATAATGGAAAAACTTTTGCTGTTAAGCAAGAGGAATGCCAAAGCTTAGATTTGTCTTTTATTTTGGGTTCTTCATTTTTTCTTTGTTTCTCCTTTAAGCCAGACCCCACAACCGCATTGCCGAGAGTTTTGATATTTTTTGTTATTTTCATTTTCCCCCATGCAGTTGACAACCCTGGAAAGTGTTTTTGTTGCTGTTGCTGCCGCTGCTTCTGCTGCTCACTCGATTTTCAATTTATTTCGTTTGCCGGCTTGTGTGTGTATGGTAGTTTCAATTTTTTCTCTGAATTTCCTTTCGTTCAGTTCAATTTTTTTTTTTCAGCTGCTTCTTTGAGCGAAAACTTCATCAACTGTTTTGCTTCTACCTGTGGCTTAAAGTCTCCAAGCCAACACCACAATCGGTATATTCCCAACCCCATCCATACAACCCCCCATTTCATTCCCCCTGAGCAATCAGCCAACATTTTTTCGCAAGCATTTTTTCTTTTTCCAATTTTTCCCCTTTTTTTTTGTATTTTTGCTGCAAATTAAGTTTGTGTCAAACGAGTGGGGGAGGGGTAAAAACGGGAGCCAAAGCATTTATGCCTTTGTGGCAAGTTAATTTCAATTTTATTGCCAATTGATTGAGATTTGAATGGAATGGCATTGGAAAATAGCGCTTTTGGCAACGTGTCGCCATTAAGCCATTGGCAAGTGGCATTGGCCCTAAGCCATGGCTGATTAATTTCTCACATTTCGCCGAGTGAATCAATTGAAAATTCGACCATTCAAATGTCAACAGCAAAATGCGAATTACAAATGTTCTCGCTTTTTATATTTTACACTCCTCTGATTCTGAATAAAAGTCAAGCAGCATTTGGAATTGGAGATGACAGGACGAAAACCACAATTCAAAATATTTCGCAAGCTTGAATAAGGATATTGGTAGCTAAAGAAATTTATCAAAACTACTATTTTTAATTTATTACAAAATTAGTTTATATGATAGTTATTTGATTTTTATAGAGTTTTCTTCACTTTACATTTTCTAATACATTTTTTCTTCAAAGCCGCAACATAAATTCTTAATTATTTCCGTCTAGATATTTTTTCCATCTCTAAAATCCCTAAAAAGCTAGAAATAAAAAAAAACTGCAGGCACTCAATTTTGAGCCACACAATAAAATGCCCTGAAGCTTATTTTCGCTCTTACCACCATGGAAAAAACCTTTATTCAGAGCATAATAAAAATCAAGAATTTTTTTTGGACTTACAAAATAAAATGTTAACGAAGCAAGCTTTCAAACGGGGGTCAATTGCACCAGAGTGAAAAAAAATCTAAAAGGAAGGTGGAGAATTTCAGGTCAGGGAGCAGAGAACTGAAATTATACCAAGGGTCGAAGGTCAACGAGCAAAGCCACTTAACGCTTGAGCTTGCAGCTAAATTAAGGAAAGTGAAAGCATGTAAGGGCAAACCAATTTCCTAGAATACCGACGACCTTGCCAAGTGCAGTTATAATTAAATTTCACTCAAAGTGCGGCAAACAAAAGCCCCAAAAATCCGGTGAAAGCAATTTCGAGCTCGGCTTAACCCGTCAGCCGCAAAAATGACAAAAGGCAAACAAACAATTTGGCAAATTTTCACAATTGTGCTGGCATTAATTTCGCATTGCGCGTGTCAATAAGCCAACAATCAATGCACTCGACGGCATTTTCACATTCCGCTCGCTGTGTTGATCGTAGGAAAAACCCAAATTAAATTTCCCCCGAAAGTCCACGGGCAGAGATATAAAAAACTGAAAATGCAATTTGGGTTGTGTGTGGGTGAGGCGAGTCACCAAATCGTTGCATCAGCTGCACTTGGCTGCAGTTTTATTGGCCTTTGCCATCCGTTTGCCGGTTACGTTGACATGTCTTCTCGCCCAATTCCCAAACTGGAACCCAAACTGGAGCCCAAACCCCCTGGTTTTCTGTGGTAAGTTCTGTTTGAGATGGCACCTGCATGGATATCCGTTGCAGGCCTGGCTCCTCCATTTCCCATTTCCCATTTCCCCGCCGCCGACGCCGCCGCCAACGTGGTCATCATCATCGGCGGCATCGTTGCATATTCATACGCCCCATTGTTGCCATGCAGTTGATGCGGGTGAGCTGATTTTTATGTGGCTGACCAGGCAGCAGGTTTGGCCTGTTTGGCCATTTTCTGTTTGGTTTTTATGGTCTCAGCGAGGGAAACGAACAAAAAATGGAATTCAAGCCGGTCAATTATGGCGGAGATTGGAAGACAAATGTATGCCCTTAAGGTTTATGGGTTAACAGATTTTGAGTTCAAATGATATCAAATTGGATCACATAAACTGCCTGAAAATGCCTTCTGTTAAGCGAGAGTTTAGGGTATCTATAGTATGGAAAATATAGTAGATTAGGTTAGACTCAAGAAATTAAATACTTGGTATTCAGAAATAAAGGAAATATTTTAAAAACCTTAAACAACATTTTCCTACATTTTTAATTTCACTCATTGAATTTATCCATCCCTATTTCAACAGTTATATAAAACTATTAAATGTTTTTTGTATGTAAGTATATTTGTTAGGACCATAAATTAATAGGAAAATAGTTTTCTGCTTTTTTTTAATCGATTAAACTTTCCTAAGCTCATTTTAATAGAAGAGTTGCTTTTATAATTGATTAAATATGGTATGCGAATGGGTTCGCTTGTATAGGATTTTCGCATGGTAGGATAGGTTCCTTTAGTTTCCAAGAATTTAAGAGCCCCTACCAACATCAATCATATGTACCTGCGACAAATAGAGCATTCGAATAGCTCTCGCTCCGTTAGCGAGATATCATGGCTTGTCTGAATGGGATGATGGTTGGATGGTGAATGGCTGGATGGTTGAATGGCTGGATGACTGGATGGTGGCCAAAGAAGAGCGCCTGCGTGTGTCACGTTTAAAATATGCGCATTTTTGCAAATGACATTTCAGTCGCACCGCACTATCACTAATTGATATCATATGATGGAATTTATGCACAGACACCGACCGACCAGCGATGGCAGACGGCAAAGGACTTTTATCCTGGTGGTCCTCCCGATCGGTAATCGGTGCTTGGTACTCGGTGCTTTTCATGATTGTTGGAATGGCGGTTGCTGGTTGGCGGCGAAATTGTCGGGTTCATTTTTGCCCTTTTATTGTTGCTGTTGTTGTTGGTCGATTGCCATTTCGCTTTTTGCGGTTTGTCGTCGCGTCAGGACGGTCATGTGCCCCTGTCCGTTGTCCTTTTGTCCGTTTGTCCGTTGTCCGTTGTCCTGCGTCCTGAGGTTGGCCGCTCTGCGGTGAAGAGACTGCGGCTCGATCATTCATTTGTCAAGTTGTCAGGACACGGTTCGGCAGCAGGCAGTTGGCGAGATATGCTGCCGTGGACATCAAGTACACCATTTAGATTTCACAGCTGCTAAAAGTTACCAAAAGTTCGTGGTTATACCCTTTTTTGCCATACAAAAATTAAGACTTTGACTTCTTAAGTTTCGACAAACACTTTGAATTTTAAGATTAGCTTCAACTTCAAGATTAAATTAAGTGTTACTAAGCCATAAAACCCACGTTCAAAATTTCGTAAAAAAAAATTTCTTTTGTAGTTCTATTCTTATGAACTTAAAAATTTAATATTTAGAAACCTTTCTAGAGACTACAAATATTGGTATATTACCAAGTAAAAACAAGCATAGCATACATGTACATTTACATCACATTATCAGGTCGAAAGTAGTTCTCAAACATTTTTAGTCATAACGTTAGAAAAGCTCTTGAAAAATTATCAGTAAAAGTAGACAAAAAGAAAGCAGAAAGCTACAAAAATGGAATTCGGCGATAGGGTTTTTGACCGTATGGATGAGTGGACCAAGGCAACTCAAGACAAACCCGGCGAAATGGGACGCATCTTGGCCGTACTTCTGACCATCATAGTAATCTGCTACGCGATTGTCGTGGTGTCTCGCATTGTGGTGTCCCTGGCCGTGCCAACCCTGGTTATAGTGGGTCTACTGCTGGCCTATCGCTTTGTAACCCCCTCCGAAATGGAAGATGGTCTCAAGGAGGTTCCCGGTATACTTACAACATTTACGGACTTTATTACTGGCATTTTTCACAAGGCGATTACAAACTAGAAGGCCTTGGGACATGTGGTGTTCGTAAATTGTTAATGGGTATATTGAACCATATTCGGAAGTAATCGAGGCTAATTTTGTAATTTGGTATTTTAAAGAATGTAAAATAAAATTTTCGATTGTTTAAAAATATATGTTCATCAATTATTTTATCTAAATATAATATGTTTGAAAAATTCAGGCGACCTTTCTACTGCTAAACAAGTTTTTAGCCAACTTGACGTCAATATCTTTACAGGAATACATTTAAAGATATGTAGTTCAAAAACGACAAAAACCTTCAACATAACTTTGCCATTACTAAAAGTAACTGCAGATTGTCATTTCTGCCGGCTGACAGACACTCTTATGTGGACTCTCAAATATCCCGAACATCATTTCAGTCCTTAGCACTGGGCCATTACTTATTTATAGCCCCAACGTTGTTCACATATCGATAACCAAGTTTGCCATCAACATTCCTGTCAGGACATTTAAAGGCCTAACAACCAGACAATGAGTGGGGCAGAGAGAGACAGCCACGGGACAGAAGTTGCAGCCCAGAGACAGGATCCGTGTTTATGTCCTGGCCGGGCAACAAAAATACGGGCAAAATGCAGCCCGACTTTTGTACCCCTTTCCTGATTTTCCTGATTTTCACACCCCTTTACCGCCCGTTGGAATAGTTTGCTTTCCGTTTTTGTCTGAGTGTGTGACTGTGTGGGCCAAGTTTTGTCTCGATGTTGTTTTCACCATTGACCGTGACGCTCGTTTCGCCGGCGCGGATGCGAACTTTGTTGCCATTTCGCCAACTAACCCCCAGACCCCCCTTTCATAACCCCCTCTGTACGAGGTCCGTCTATGAGAACGTGCGTTGTCTGCTACCTGACGGTTGACTTTCTTCCTCTAATGAAATGCGGTTACAAATGCAATTTTACATTTTTCACAAAAAAGCATTTTATCTGTCGACGCCAGGCCCGGCCCGAAAACGCAGACTCCAAACTCCGGGATGCGACTCCGGAGTTTGGTGCACTGTAAAATTATATCACCAGGTTACATTTATATTTTTAAAGGCAAAAAATACAAAACAAATCAGAATTTATTTAAAAATGTTTATAAATGTGTCTAAAAGTATGCAATAACATAATTGAAAGACGGAAGTCCCATGAAAGACAACTGTTTCCGTTTTACTGCATACTTTTTGGCGCATTTACAGATGATTTTAAGACCATATGATCCTGGCATTCCCCAGAGAAAAATGACTTTCCTAAAAATTATAAAGATTAGAAAATTAAAATTTATTGTATCAAAATATAATTTTAGAATATTTTTTTTAATGTACTTCTTGCAAAAGCGCACGAAAACCAGGCAGTAGTCAGTGCACGTGACATCCATGTGTCGCTGTCTCTTTTTCGGTGGGTGGGGAATTTCCTCCATTGTGTTTGTGTTTCGAGCGTGTTCCTGTTCGGGCCGGTGTCCCAAAAGCTCGGCCCTTGCCTGCCACCTCCACACCTACACCTCCACGATCCCAAATTCACCCATCTCTCCTCCTGCTGACCAGTCGTCAGCTTGTTTGCACCTTGTCGAAATTAGTGTTTGTACCGAAATGAACACGATTTGTTTGACCAGCAGGTGTTGAAAATACACTGCGCTACATGGTCGAGTTGGTTGTCGGTTGTACATATGTAGGTCCCAGGTCCCAATTCCACCACCCCCCATTTTATCGCCCATCTGCTCCGCTTTGCCGTGTCATACGCGGCGTATGGGTAATGTTTTTCAAATTGTTGCGGTCAGTTTGAGAGACATTTGGTCGGAATTGCTCTGTTTTGTTTCGGTTTCTATGCTGGCAGCGGTTTCAGATGGTTGTTGTGTTCTGCCATTTTATAAACATCACGGACACTTTGTTATTTGGGTTGTACAATTTGTATAACCATGTAGCCACAAGGATTCCACTTCAAGCTATTTTTAGACAACATTTGTCGCACAATTAAATAAATCTGTGTAATTTGGCAGATTGCTTGCTTTTTATTATGAAATGCCTAATCTGTGAGTTTTATTATTATCAATATTGTTAAATGACAAAGCAATTACAATTCTGTCAAATACTATAACCATTAACTTAAACTAAGATGCCATATTTGCTTGATATCTTGGGCATATATTTTTCCCGGCAGCCCAAAATAAATGAAAACAACGTCCGGAAGGTAAAATATTAACATGCAACATAGTATTTCCATTACTATTTTTCATTGCCAACGACCATCAAAATGCTGAAGTGCGGCCAAAATATGTCTGACTGCAAATCAAAATGGCAGACAGCTCCGACAAATAAACAGTCACTCAGCCAGACGAGTGCAGCAGATGGAGAGACATTCCAGACAGAACGAGGGACATTTCGCCTTTCAGACGGATATATAGATGGAGATACGGATGACGGTGATTGCAGCAGGGATTGCGTTTCATTGCCAAAAATTCAGAAGGTAAGTAAGTGCACCATAGGCCGACTGTCATGAATGAATGGATGGTTCAGATGGTGGGATGGCATGGTATGGCATAGTATGGATGGGTAACCCCCGCATTCCGGCAAACTCATTAACAAGTTGGCACATAAAAGCCCAACAACTACTACTCACTCGGCGGTAAGCGAAAGAAGTCAATGCCTTGGCGACAAGCTGCCGCATCAGCAGCCGCAACTAATGGCTGCCAGACTTGTGTCGGTTTAGGAGTTGAGTTCTGGGTCCTGGGTGCTGGGTCCTTGGTCCTCGGTCCTCTGACTTCCCGGTTTCTTGACTTCTCAAACTTCTTTTTCGGCAAAGGCAAGGCCAAGGCAAATACTTGGCGGCTGTGTGCAAGTTTTATTAAAAGCCAACAGTCGGCGACATCCTGCTAGCGGTTGGCCAAAGTCAAAGGTTTGGGCGGAGGGACACGGTTTGATAAATACAGCCAAAATTATTTCGGCCCAAGGTACAGAGGATACCCGGACTACACATTAAAATTAAATTTTTAATAAGGCCATGTTTACTTTTTTACCACATTCAAACGTATTTAACTAACGACCATCTTTCGAATACAAACTCTAGTATAAATTGATATTAAGGTAATTTAATAGAATAATTGTTTATTGGTAACAAAGCTACTTATGATTAAAAATATGTCTTCTAAATTTTTATGTGAACTTATTGCTTAATACTACAAACAAATTTAAATCAAACCATAAAACCATAACATTGGTTACTAAGAAAAGAGTATCATACAAAAGTCTCTCATAAATATCTTTCTCTTTACTAAACAATTTATATTTCAATGATTTTGCGTTTAGTATGTAATGAAAAAGTAATCCTTAGCCAATAACCACTTTACTAGCAATCCTGGAGGCAAGTACCGCGAAAATTATGGCTCACATGTGTTGCCAGTCGCAAACTACTCATTGGAACTGCGGATTTCTGGAGCGACGCCGGCAGTCGAAGAACAGACGGAGGAAGTTTGGATTTCCTTTGCCAAGATGGAGTTCCATGTCGAAATTATTAGGCGGGATAGTTGGTTGGTGGGTATGGGGCTTAAAAGGAGACAGTACACCCAACCATTCCTAAGTATGCAAGTGGTCTTCACAGCAGGCTGAATGGGTGGCATAGCAGCGACAATGGCCAGTGGGACAACAGCACTGTCTCAGGATAGAGGAACTATAGGGGAACACAATGATCTTCCACTGATGACCGAGTTCCAGGGTCTCGTAATGATAACCCCTCTTGAAGATCACCATGGGCGTGTGCTCCATGTAGAAGGGCATGATTTCCAGCAGACAGGCATCCATGCAGTTAACAAAGAACTGCACACACTTGATCATCTTGGCCAAGGTATAAACACCCGTAATACCCTCATCAAAGAAGTAGACCGCATCGAAGTTTGGGGTCTCCCTGCCAAAGATCTCTGCCACATGGCGCATATTTTGAAAGGAATGTAGGGTGGTGCAACCCGAAGGTCCGCTGGGAAAGAACAAATGGGTAACTTCATCTGTGACCAAAATGGGACTGGCACAGGCCGGAGCATCGGCCACATCGGCCAGAACGTATTTCACAGGTCGCAGACCGTGTTTCAACTCCTCCACGGCCCTCACGAAATTCGGATGGTTGGCCACATGTGGCTTCAGCTGCCGGAAACGACTCCTTAGCATCTCAATGAACTCATCCCGGATCGAATAATGCACCGCCACCGTGGCCATGGGAAAAGGCTGAAAGGGCTCGTGCATCAACTCGGCCAAACAATAGGCAGCCGTATTCAAATCTCCGTCCTTGCAAACGCACATAAAACGGGCTCCTGGCCAGATCCTCGTCTTCTTCATGTCGTGCCTCTAATTGGAAAAATATATTATTTATATAAGAATGGGAAAAATTGGTTAAGAAATTCTTGAAGTGCTTACAATCCTGGGACCTCGTCTATTGCATCGCAGATTGTGAACCAGATCGTGGGTCACGAAATTTGTCTTTAATTCACACATTTTTGAAGAGTTCAATCACAACTTAAGTTAACCTATTCTCACGAAAAATTTATTTAGTAACAGGTAAAAAAGTTGAAGGCTAAATACAGGAAAACATAACAATTTTGGAGTTTATTGAAAGTACAAGTACAAATAAATAAGTGCATTTTATTAATTTAATGCCGACTTATTCTTTCAATTTAAAAAATTATCTACTCATGTTTAAGTCCTGAAATAAATATATATATATATACGGATCCAATAGGTTTGATATTGCAGATCATATTCATATTGTCCTGCGCAGCAATCAGAAACAGCGAAAATAGCAATCAAACTCGGTTTTAATCCCGAAATTTAATATGCAAAATCTTTGAAGCCTCCCAAATTGAGCAATCAAAAGTTCTGGGAAATTAACTCCCAAAGCTGGGAGCTTCCACACTTTGGGCGAAGTCAAGTCCCTTCCTCATATATGTATATCTCGCATACTCACTTATGCCGAAAAGTTAATGGAACCAAGGAAAGGCGAGATTTCCATAGAATAAAGCAGAATTTTGCGCAAACGCACACAAACAACTATGGAAAACAAATCAAGCGCAAAGTAAACCCAGCCGAGAAAAAATAACATTTTGCCGCGATAAGAAACTTGCTCAGACTTTCAGCAAGGAGCAAAAATCCAGGGCAAATAGAGTGGGGAAGGCGGCCAAAGTCGACTGCATGGGTGGAAAGACAATGCTAATGCCATTTGCTCAAGTGCCATCATCGGGGGCAAACTTGTGTCATATAAGTCTAAACAAAGGTAATAAACAAGTTGGTCTTTGTTCTTTTGTACACTTGCAGTGGGTATTTAAATTTATGCAGTATTCATAAAAAAAGCAAAAAAATTACATTTTTGATTAGGCACAGATTACGAGTACCCAAAAAATATTGTTAATTTTGGCTAAAATATAGTCTTATTTTCTGGTCTAAAAATCTAACGTTTTGGATGCCAAAACGCAAAGAAAAGTCAGAACTAGGAATGTCATACCTCGTTAAACTCGTAGTTAAATTTACAATCTATTGGCGTTCAAGCCTAAAAATATTTAATTTTTGCCATTTTTCGCAAAAATATATGATGTAACCCCTTATAAAAAATGTGAAAATTGGTCAAAAAATAAATTTCCCTTAAAGTAATGCCGATCGTTAGCATATGTAGCAAGATGCTCATAACAGTCGATCTTTTTTCTGTACGCCTTAATTTGGCTGAGTTACGATGGAAAAACCGCAAAGAAAATGAGTATTTTTGGCTAAAATATAAATTTAATTTTTTTGCTTTAAAAAATCACTGATTTGGATGCCAAAACGCAAAGAAAGGTCAGAACGAGGAATGTAATACCTCGTTGAACTCGTTGTTTAATTTCCAATCCATTGGCATTCAAACCTGGAAACATTAAATTTTTGACATTTTTCGCAAAAATTTGTGATGTAACCCCTTACAAAAAATACGAAAATTGGTAAAAAAAATAAATTTTCCTTAAAATGATGCCGATCGTTAGCAGAGGTAGCAAGCTGCTCAAAACTGTCGGTCTTTTAGCTGCACGCCTTAGTTTGGCTTTGTTACGACTACAAAACTACTGAAAATATATACATTGTTGACAAAAATGGCAATCCTTATTTTTCAGCTAAACAATCATTCCTTTTCAATCCTTTTTTACCTATCTACTACAAAACTCCATGTCATCAAGAGTATTTAATAGTCGTGTTACTATATCTTTTTATTTGTAAGCGACATGGTGGGCGTGGTGCTGCTGAGCTATAAAGCACATAAAGTTCAAAAACCCATTTGTGGTACATTGGAGATTTATAAAACAACAACAAAATGCTCGTACATCCCAACACAGATTTATTTTTCGGATTTCAGTATTTTAGCAAAAGCTAAACAAAAAATGTACAAACAAATAAGGCTTTAATATTCAACTGAATGCAATGAAAATTAAATTACTAATTTGCTTTGCGGTTGATTTGTTTACTGACTAGAAAATGAACAGTAACAGGATGCAGCTACAGTGCATGCTAAATATAATATGCTTACTCCGTTAATAATCTATAAATTGGAAAAAATCTATAAATACAAATTATTAAATGTAGAACCTGCCAAATATTAATAATATTTTAAAAACATGCCAAAATACTTTTATACAATACTTTTACAGCCCACTGTTGGCCAGCCAATTGAGGCGTGTCAGTCTGAAAGAGAGCGGCGATGACAAAAATTAACTAAAACATCCGTCGTTGCAGCTAGTCAACTGCCATGGTCCATTCAATTATTCATTTTGCATGCAATACCCAATTTGAATTTCATTTATGCAACGTTTTAATTAAATTTTTTGCTTCTTTTGCAGCTCTAACCGCACTCATACCCCCAAAAATACACACACTCACTCACAACAGCAGCTGCCGCTTAAAGCCACAAAAATTACGCATACGCACTGTATTTATTAAATTAAAAAAGTTGACACGGCGATAGCAACTGGCGAAAAAGTTGTACGACTTTTTGGATTTTGGTTTCAACAATTTTGAAATTGAATTTTGGTTTTCATAGTTGTTTTTGCTTTTTGCACTCTCGATCCCAGAGCGTGAGATGAGGTGTAATTTGAAAAATGTTTGACAAAATGACAGCGACAGTGATTTCGAAAAGCTATCTGCAATTGCCCAAAATGCAATTCACATTTGCCAAGCGAAGGTCAAACACAATCACCCTGCCATTTCCGACAAACATTAAGGGTACAGAGAGAGAAAAATAAATAAAAATAGAGAAAATTTGGTTTCAAATTGCTATAAAATACTTTAAGAATCCTTTAAAAAAATAATAATAATTACACTTATAATATAAATTCATTTGTAAGGAATACATATTAAGAAAAATAATGAAGGAAAATATTATTTTAAAAGATTGAATATTTTTTAGTTTAACATAAAACATTTCCCAACCAACTTATTGTATAGTACAATCCATCTTTTAAATATTTTTAAGCACCTATTTTTCCCTTGTGTAGGCACTTATCGAAGGGCCACTCGGTTTTTGGCTGCGAAACCAGCCAAATAAAATATGAAAATGCTTGTGCCAGGCATTAAACGCTATGAAAATCGTATGGCCAGGCCAGCCGCCCCCTATGTTCCGCCAAAATGGGCGTGGCAGGATGGCTGGATATGTGGATATCTGGGCTGGGGTGGCCGAGAATCGGGAATCGGGAAGTGCAAATAACTGTTGCCAAACATTTTCAACGAAAATGTTCGCATTGCATACATTTCGGGGAAAATGGGAAAGCGGGGAAATGGGGAGTGGGTTGTGGGAGTGGCGCTGCAGTGCCTGCTTGTAGCAATGCATGCAAACAAGATTTAACGATAAAATTTTAATTAGTGCATAAATGGGCGCCTGATTGTGTGGGCGTGGTCGCATAGAGAGCAAGACATGTTGGCCATATATGTACCAGTGGCAGTACGAGTACCAGGAACACGGGCCAGAGACCCAGAGCCAGACACATTGCGGCTTTGGCACTTTTGTGCTTCTATTTGCCATCGCACAGGCATCGAGTGCGGGCTGAAAATCGAGATGGGGCAGATGGAGGAGTTCGGGGGAGATCGGTAGGTGGTCCTGAAAATGGGTACTCCCCGGCTGAAATTAAGAAATTTTGTCCCGCTGCCATGTGCCGTGTTTGCATTGCCATCGATGCGTAACTTTGCGCTGCAAGACTGCCGCGCCGATAAGCGTTAATTTTAAACTTGCCGGGGAAATTCTGTCGCCGGAACTCCGAAAGTTATATTCAAGGGGAAAATGCACTGCATGAGGTATATACTGTATATGTATCGGCAGGAGGAAATCAGAAAAACTGTTTTGTGAAAGCGTAAGAGGGAAATGTATAACAACAAGTCAAATATTTTATTGTGGAAGAACATTAAATTTATTATGAACTGAAAATTAACATAGCCATTGATTAATTAACTAAATAATAAATTAATAGAAAAATATTTTGAAGTCCTTTCTAGAACAATAAATAGAAATGAATATAATTAAACAAAATACAATAAAAATATTAATATATTGTAATATTCGAAATTTTAATATCATAAAAAAAGATTCTTTGTGATTTTTAAAGGCCTAATAAAACTTTTTTTGTAGTTTAACAGGCTTTTAGATTTTTTGTTAACAGTCCAAGTACTTTTTTACATTTATAGGTAGAACGTAAAATGTAGTCCAGTGAACAAAAAATAAAATTTTTTTTTTGCCTTAATTAAACACGAAATTTGTTGTTGCGATCCCAAAGTATTTGCCTTCTGCTTAAGTTTTAAATTAACTAATATAAAATATAATAAAAAAGGAATGCCTCGGATGAAAATGAAACATAGTACCCACACTATATACAAAGTGAACACGATGAGCCGCAACAGACCGCCGGGTACTAACTTTATTCAATATTGTAGCTTTTCGCCATGGTTCCTTGGCTCGTCCGCTTTTATTTATTTCAAGTTTTACCTTTTTCTAACCTTTTTTTGTTTCATTTTTGCCGTTACTTGCCTTGGTTTTTTTTACAGCTCACCTCGATGGCTGCTCGACATGCACTTTGCATACATTTTGCCTTTACGATCTGACGCTGCGTTTAAATATTTAGTAGATAGTAAACTATGCGCTACCCATGTGCTTCTTCGTATAGTGATGTGCGTGTGGCTGTTGAAATATTTATTAAAATAACCAAAGGCATGCAAAAACATCGAGAGACTCAAAGAGATATGCCTCGAAGATAGCCGGTGATTTAACATCAGCTGGGGAATATCAGTGAAAATAAAGTCACTGCGCTCTGTAATACCAAAACGCGAATTCTTTAGATCATTTTCATTAATAATCAGGGCATTTCTTTAAAAAAGGTTTTTAAAAGTTAGATTATTTCTTATTAAATAACAATCTGAAAACACCTATTTAAATGCAACAGGTACTTTAATTTAAAAGTGTACCATGATAATATCCTTAATATACATTTACCCACCAACATTGCACTGAAACACACAATCAATTCAAATAAAGTTACTATTTAATGATGTTAAAAGAGTGACTTTAGCCAAATCCATCCACAACTAAAAGCCAAAACAACTTCAAATTGAATCACGGTGACCACTTTGTGGCATCACTAATCAATCGGGCCCACAGCACTCAAATATGCTCTCTGGCTTTTCGCACGCAACCGATATTCAGTTGGATGGCCAAAATGCAGAATTTATGTTTTAATTAAAATATGTAAATGCGCCAAATCGTGTAGAAAGCTCTAGTCAAGAGCCGCCTGCCTAAAAGCGACGAGGAAAATCAGCCAAAAACATTTCACACATTCACCAATAATGCGATTTCTGCAAAAATGAAGAGCAAATCCGCGATGTTCACCAGTTTTGTGTGCTGAACAAATTTGAAAATGTGCGGCGCTTGTTCAAAAACTGCGAACCACGAAACAATTTAGTTTATTTGCCTCTAATTGCAAACAACAGTTGTCTGATTTCTTTGCATATATACACGGCCATATAGTATTTGCGTTTTCCCTCTCTATCGGACTAACGAATTTATTTTTGGTCAGAGAAAGTGGTGCTTTTCTGATATTTTAGCTTGTGCAGTCAAGGCTAAAAATCGGTCTCAAATCGCTGATGGAAAAATCCATTGAATTTCCCGCAAAACTTTCAACTATTTTTGGAATAACAGTCCGTTGCAGGTCGCGTCAAATCAGAAAAGTTTAACTTCATTTCACTCGATCGCGTTCACCCTTCGAACAGAACCCAATTTGGAGTCACAAAAGTTCACTGCCCCATTATTATGCATGCTTCAGTGGTATTCAACATTTGTACTAAACCCAAACTCAAGCAGCTCCATCATCATCATCATCATCATGACCAATAAATTCGCCAAGATGTCCATTTTTATTTATTTTCGCATCTCAAGTGTTTAGTTTACGCTTGAGAAAATCGCCATTTTCTCAACTTCATTGTGAGGAAATATTTATATATGCAACTGCAGGCAACATGTGCCCCAGAGTCCTGGTCCTGGTCCTCGGATAAGGCCCAAAGTCCAGGCCCTAAGTAAAAAATAGTATAAAAAAAAGCGGACCCAAGGAGAAACAAACTCAACTCAAGTCGACTCTGTCATTGCCGTTCCAATTTCCGTTTGAATTTTGCACTTCATTTCGCAAGTTCGCAATTTTCTTTAGAAAAAATCCAGTCCGAAAAAGGACCAGAAAAAAAAGCAGGGAACAGAAGGCAATGCAAATACGAGAGTGTATAAACAAAACAAAAGGAGCATACACTCAGCATGAAGGGGACGAGAAGATGACAATAAATTGTCACAGAGGGAAAAAGGAGCGCAGGAAAAATTGTAAACACGAACAGTCCTCCATGATAATGATGGAAAATCATGGGCCCAAGCGGGAGACAATTGCACGTAACAGTGACTGGCATGTCTTCTGTTTTCCAGTCAAGTCCCCAAAAATCCCTATCAGCCACACTCAGAGAAAAAATGTGGAAGTATAGGTATAAACAGTAGTTATTTTACAGTGTGACCAAATCCATATTAACACCTGAAATATTTGGTTATATTTAGGACTATGGTTAGATAGAAAGTATGCTGAGTTACTTTCTAGTACATTTCATTATATGTTAGCATTGTTTATTAAACACTATAAATTATACAAATTACAAATGTCTTAGTTATACCTTTTTTCTCTGCCAGTACTCTGCCGCCACACGCACAGTATACCAAAGCGGTCAGCTTGCACAAAACGTAAAGCTTTACATTAGATATATTTCTTTATTATTTAAATATTTATTTTTTAATACATAAATATTGTTTGTTGCGTATTCACCATCCCATAAATATTTTATCGCAAATTAAGAAGTACCCCATAATTTTTCCATGTGTACAATGCCATTGCCTGCTGTTTATTTGTTTGACAAATAACGAGGCAAGCCCATAATGAAGGAGGTGCAAATGATGTTGGCATTGTTTATTCGACTGCGAAATGTAATAGGCGCCTTCAAGGAGCAGGACCAGGACCAGAAGCATCCAGCTGGGCGGGGTCGTGACTCCCAGATTTGCTTTACGTTTTTTATGGCTGATTTGACGGGAAACGGAAACGCGAAATTGCAAAAGCGCAATAAAGTGTAGCATAAACAAAGGCGCGCACACCGAATGAGACCGCCTGCCAGATGGAAATATATATGTAGATCTATATATAATGCGGACGGGAAAATACGGAATGTTTCAACTTGAAAGTAAATTTGCTTTCCATGTTGTTGGTGTTTTGGCATCATGCTTTTTCTTGTTTTATTGTACGCAACGAACAGATTGTTGTTCATCTTTTATACGCATTTTTATTTTCAATTGGTTTCGGTTGGATTTTCTTTTATTTTATATTTAGAGAGCGGTACTTGCGGTTGTGGTGTACAAATCTTTTTAAATTTTAGTAGTTGTGGTTTATTAAATAGAGAAAGGGGGTTTCCTATCTTTATTTCTTTGTCGTATATATGTACCATTCATATTTTATTGAACTAAAAACAAAATAGTAATAATAAACCCGTATTGAACCCCCAATTAAAACATATTTTAAATTCTATTTTTGACAATTGTCAAGCAATATTTACAATATGAACATGTTTTCCTCATCTGGGATTTTTGTTATTTTCCACTTGTTTTTCCACTTGATGGCGCTCGAATTTGCTCTGGAATAACACAATTCTTTAGTCATGTCTATCACTCGAATGCGAGTTTGTGAGGCCATTATGCAGTGTCAGCAGAGTCGAAGAAAAATATGAGAATTCCTAAAGTATGGCACACACGCCGAGGCGTCTGGATTGACGCATGCATTTCTGCTGGAGGCTGCCTGCATATTTATGATTCGTGTGCGTCTTATAAATAAAGAAAATGGCAAAATGAAAATGCAAATGCAGAAACATCAGTGCTGTTGGAACTGTGTCAACAATGCGTGCCTACCTGTGTCGCATGTCTATCTGTAGTCCCCTAGTTTCTGTGCCACAATCTGACCTAAGTCTTCATGGGAATATTCAAAAACGAAAGCAAATTATTTCAAATTAAAAACGAAAAACAAATGCTCTTAAATTGCCAAGCTTTTTAGAATTAACAACCAGACAATTAAAAAATTCATTCAAAAAGCAATAAAGAATAAAATTCGAAATGTTATTATGCAGCTAACCTTTTTTTACTTTATTAAAATATATGAAATATATCCCATATGTATAGTATTGGATGATATTTCCTTTTTGAATTCCAAAACAATCAATAGTTGATAAATGATTAAATAAATTAATACCCTTTCTAAGAGAAACAAAATATAAAGAGTATAAAGTAAGACACATTTGCTGACATCAGCGGGACATGAGAAAAATATATCCCCAGAACTAGGGGTTAATATTCACCCAGATCAACAGTTGGTTTCTCGCACAGTTACAGTTAAGGGTAAAAATACGCATAGAGTTGCATTCAGAGATCCTGTGGGGGGGGCTTTCTGGGCGCAGTGAGGCATGGTCGAACTGCTTTATCGACGCTATGTAGGTTGCCAAGCGACCGTAACCAAGCGTTCTCCGTTGAAAGCAGAAAAGGCAAAACACAAAACCCAAAACACCGAGGAACTAGCAAGGCGTACGGCGTAAAAAACCCGAGAAAATAAAGGCTAGGCTAAAAAATGGTAAGAAATGTGGCTGAAAACTGTTGTCAGATACTCCGGAGATACTTATGCCCTTGCCACAGATACTTTCACGCGGAAAAACCGACTCGGCGAGCTCGAGGAACGCCAGCGGAGGTGCTGGCAGCGGACTCGGGGTTGGCAGGCAGGCCAGGAAGACCCCGGCACCGGCCTCCCTCGAGGATTTCATCATCAAGCGGGACTACACGGGTGCCAGGGCGTTTCTGGAGGTAAGGATTAGTTCAGTTCCGAACTTAGTTTTTATATTTATAGCTTTGTTTCGCTATATCACGAAAAGGAAAAGTAATTACAATGCGGTTGAAATAACTTTGGCTTTGTTTTCTTAGGTTTTTATCACTGTGATAAACTAAAAAAAGTATACCCAACTATTGTAAATATTATAATCATTAAATTATAACTTAATTTTTAACCAATGCGACATTAATGTTAGGCTTATTTAAGTTACTCCAAATTTATTCAACCATTAAATAATCTTAAAATTTTCGTTCCACAAAAGACCACTTAAAGAAAAGAAGTTCCTTTGAGCTAGATCTTAATAGTTAATTTAATTAGCTGTCCAATAAAATTGATACATGTGATATTTACCATACTTTTTATGACTATACTAAACTTTGTATAATGCTTATAACAGGTTATGTAGTACTAAACCGATGTGCGAATCAAAAAGCGATACGAACAGTAAGAGTATAAACAAATTTTGTATTTATTTAACTTTTAAGACAACAGAGCTGCTCTCCACCTTCTTCACAATAAGTTATGCAGCTGTGTTTTGTATGTATCTAATGATAATTAATGAAGGTGAAAGGAAACTATCCAGAACGGGCTTCGAAAGTATAGTCGTCGACAGGAACTGCAGGGGCATCTTCGGGGAATTGATCTCTGAAGTTTTCACACAGCTCTGGATCATTTATTTCATTAAGACATTGTAAAAATGAGGGCGATTGAGAATCCACCTTAACGGCAAATAACGCGATTATCAGGAACACAAACAGAGCACAGAACTTCATGGTAGGAGATCACTAAGCTATCTGACTATATGTCAGCTTGTTTTATACCAGTTATACCCCGTAGCCATTCGTGTTGGCCTAGACTTGTTTTTGAATTGCTTAAAAACTAAAGAAGCGTATAATTTTGCATCTCTTAGTCCGAATATATTACTCGTTTTACGTTATTGATAGCTGGGCATTGATTTCTGAACGACTTACCATCAAATGCCCATGGGAAAATGGTAGTCGATTGATCTTAAGCCCATAAGATCATAATCTTGTGGTTCAAAGACATTTTTATTAATAATTTGTTGTGCTACCACATGGAATAATATTAGTTTTAGGTATATACAAAAATCAACTTGCTATGTTTGCTGACATCGACCTGTTTAGTATCTGCAGTTAGCATAGACTGGTTTTTTGATTAGCTAATTTTTGCATTTAATTTTTTTTTGTTTTAGTATACCCCGATTTGTTAGTCACTAAAAGATCAATGACGTATTATTTCGTGATTATTATCAATTTTGTTTCTGTACCTATAAATACAGATATTAAAAGCTATAAGAAAGAAATAAAATATATATATTGGGACCTCGCTATCATCTTCTTTATTACTTTTGGGATTCTTCAATTTAATATTTATCTATTATATTATTATATTAATATTAATTTATTAAATTAAGTAATACGAATATCTTTTTGGAATTTCAGTATACCAACGATGATGAGGACGAGGAAGAGGGAGCCCATGGACCCAAGCAGACTCAGGTGGACCAATGGATTGCATTTTGCAATTTCCATTTGGGAGACTACCAACAGGCTCTGGCCCAGTACAGGACCATCCAGCAGAGCTCCACGAGTCCCGATGGCAAAGTGGATCTCAATCTCAACGTGGCTGTCTGCATGTTCTACTTGGGCTTGTACGAGGAGGCCCAACAACTGATGACAAATTCAGCTGACAATCCGCTGAAGCAGCGACTCATGTTCCATTTGGCCCACAAATTGGGCATCGAGGAGGAGTGGAGTCAGCTACTGGAGGAGCTGCAGGAATCTTCCAGTTTGGAGCAACAACTCAGCCTGGCCTCTATGCACTATATGCGGGCCCATTACCAGGAGGCCATCGATGTTTATAAAAGGGTCCTGGTGGACAATAAAGACTACCAGGCCATAAATGTCTACTTGGCACTGTGTTTCTATAAGCTGGACTATTACGACATGTCCCAGGAGGTTTTGGATGTATATCTCAGCCAGCATGGCGATAGTACCATTGCTATCAATCTAAAGGCCTGCAATCGTTTTCGTTTATTCAACGGTCGTGTGGCCGAGCAGGAAATCAAGAACATAGCCGATAATGGCACTTTTGGAGCAGATCTTCTACGTCACAACTTGGTGGTTTTCCGAAATGGTGAAGGAGCTCTTCGTGTTCTACCAGGACTATTAAATATCATTCCCGAGGCTCGTCTGAATCTGGCTATATATTATCTGAAACAAGGCGATGTCCAGGAGGCCCATGCTCTGATGAAAGAACTGCAGCCTACATCGCCACATGAGTACATTCTCAAGGGTGTGGTTCATGCTGCTCTAGGTCAACAACTGGGATCGGTAAGGTTTCTCTGAGTTAATACGGAATAAAATTTCTTATATACCCACAAAGAGAACGTTCTTTAATAAGTTCTCTAACTAAAGATCGCTTCAACTTAAAAAAAGAACTCACGAGTACTTTCTTCTTGATTTCAAGAACATTTCTCCTCAAAAGTGAGAAAACTAGTACCCCACTTTGAGAACATTTGATCTGCACTTTTTTCTAATGTTTCTTTTCTTCCAGAAAGAGCACATCAAGACAGCCCAGCAAAACCTTCATTTGGTGGGTAGTTCGGCCACTGAATGTGATACAATACCGGGTCGTCAGAGCATGGCCTCTGCCTTTTTCCTCTACGAACAATTCGAGGAGGTGCTGGTGTACATGAACTCCATCCGGAGTTACTTTGTCAACGACGATGTGTTCATCTATAACTTTGCCCAAGCCAAGTGCGCCACGGGTTATTACAAAGAGGCGGAGGAGTTGCTCATGCAGATCAGCGATATGGATATAAAAAATCAGCACACCTACTGCATGATCCTGGCCAAGTGTCATATCCACTGTGGTCATCCTGAGTTAGCCTGGAATGTTTTTATTACGAGAGATACGAATGCAGAGGCGTTTATTCTGCTGCAATTGATTGCTAATGAGTGCTACAGGTGTTCCGAGTTCTGGGTGGCAGCCAAGGCCTTCGATATGCTAGAAAAGTAAGTGCTGTTTTTATGGTTTAGAAAATGCATTAATTAATAAATATTTATATAGGCTCGATCCAAGTCCGGAGAATTGGGAAGGCAAACGGGGCGCCTGCGCAGGAGTTTTGTTTGCTTTGTGCACCAAGGCTCAAAGAGGTCGTCCTGGCGGAGGAATCTCGGAGGTTATTGGCATTTTGCGGGACTCCTCGAACTCACAGGCAGAGGCCATGATCAAAACAATTCGGAAGCACATTAATCATTTTAAATAAATAAGGAATTATTTTAACACTTTTAAGACTGTAAAAAACAGGGCAAATGCACACAAAAATTTTAAGATAAATAAAAAAGTGTAAACTACAAACAGCAAAATTGTGGACTTCTATCATGGGATACACAACCACAAAATGCCAAATCTCCAGTGATTTTCCATGCTTAAGTGTATTCATTTATAAGTGCCATCTACTTTAAATAACTAAAAATAACTTGGTTAGCTGAAACTCTAGTCAAGGAAAATTGATTTTATAAGTTCATTTCAAATTAACTGAAAAATGATAATAATTTATTTACAATTGGCCTGCCAGCACTTTTCGTATGATTACTGAATAATTTGCGGCACACACGCCCTAATTTGTATCCACAAAACACTTTGGCTAATTAATTTAAGAGGAAATTTGTCAAGAAAAGTGAGGCCGGAATTTCAAAAGTTATGCCAGCCCACTGTCCACTTAATAAATCAGGCCCAACAACTTTCAAAAACTAATTGATAATTAATGAAATAAAACGCCGTCTTCATCTTTTGTTGCTGCCAACGAAATTCTCAGCTCAATTTAATTCCCTCGAGAGGCAATTATGTTTGAAAAGTTATTTCCCTCCAGCCCCTATCAAAATTGCCTCTGCTTTCTTTGCCTGCATTTTGCTTTTGTTCAATTTGCTGGCCATTTTGCCTGCAGGCCAAAAAGGATCCAGCAACCAGGCTCCAGATACAAGACAGGAAAAGATACTGAAACAGAGGCCCAGCAGCAAATGAGAGAAACGCATAATTAATGCGATTAGCGAAATGCGAAAGTGTCGGAGCAATAACAACAATACGACAATGATAATAGCAAAATTTAACTATTCTTATGAAGACAGCGAACCTGGAATACCCTCTCTTTCCTTGTTAATAGAAAATACTAACTAATACTGTTGAAAATGGCAAAATCGTTACAACAACTTATCAGAAAGAAATAAAATAGAAAGATTTATATAAGAAACATATACATTTTTTACTTTTAAAATGAAAGTTTAAAATAAAATCTATCAAAATAATATGTTATAAATTTTTATCAAAAATTCCAAATAGAATATTTTAAAAGCCGAAGAAGAAAAAATATCTTTAGGATTCCCTTTAGGAATTTGGAGTCAGGGCAGGTCAGGAGTTGACCCCGGCATCACTAAACGGGCTGGCAAGGGCTCAGCAAACCAGCGGAAATGTGTCGCAGCCATTTTGCCTAATTGGCTTTGCTTTGCTACACCAACAAAAATTAGTCGAGAGATAAACCGGAAATGGCGCAGCATTGTGTTTAATATATAGATACGTATATCTACAGATTTTGCAAGGATCTTTTTTTTTTATTATTTTGCCAACACTTTTGCTAATTAGTTGCACAAATATTTAAGCAAGGGCTGAGTTAAAAACTTTAAGGCCAACGCGGCTGGCATTTTTCACCGATGAATTTTTGTTCTCAAAAAACTTTTGGCTGGCTATAAATCAGCTGCTCCCCGTGAATTTCCCTCCGCACGACTATCCGCTCTTAACAATTCCATTACAAAAATTAAAAGCAAATGCAAAGAGAAGTTTTCCAACAAGCCAGAAAAAAAACGGAAAAAAATGGCAAGAAAATAGTTATTAAATATTTCTTTGGCTCAATTGCTGAGCAAACTTTTCGCCAGCACCTACAAATAAATGAAAGAAAAAATTCACAGACCCAAAAAATACAGCCAGAAGTTTATCCCCATAAAGTTTTGTATATATTTTCTTTTTCTACAAATTTTCTTGAGCCTTTATGCAGCTCCTATGAAAGTATTATTTTAACTGATAATCGCTGAACCATTTAAATGCTCTTTTCACAGGCAGATGGATAGTTGAATATATGTTATTGTGTTTTTGTTTATATCAAAAAGCCTGCACAGGTAAATACTTAATATTTAAATAGAACTCACAGCCAAAATATAAGTTCAACACCCTCAACTAATGGCTAATGTATGCATAGACTAGCCAAACCTCAAGGTTATCTGCATGATTAACGAGTTGAGCTGATTTGGCAAAAGTGAAGTAAACTTTGCAGACACTAGAAGAAAACCTGGCCATAGGCCAATGAAATTAGAACGAACTCAAATATCCAGGAGGCTGAGTGAAACAAGTTTTAGCTAAAAATTCCAGCCTCTGCCCACAATTGAACTAAAAGTCAAATTGAACGTACAAATAAATTGCTAGCGACAACCTCGTTAAAATAAAATTTATAAAGTTCACATTTCGATTCTTTAAATTCGTGTAATAAATAAGAAGGTAATATGAGTTCGGATGAGATCAAGTTGGAGGCTGCCTACGAGCAATTGATAGAGGAGGACATCAAAAGTCAGTTGGAGAAAAATGGAACCATGGCACTTCTCCGAAGTGAAATGCATGTTAAAGTTCTTCAGATGATGCGGGGCCAGCTGGATGTGTCCAAAACCAAACCTCTAAGGGGTGGATTATCCAATGGAAACAACCTTTCCGAAGATCAGAGCCTTATCAAGCTTATTAACCAACTGGTTATGGAGTTCTTTCATTGGTTCGGCTACAAACACACCCTGGAAACATTTCGCATGGAGACGGGCGAAATTGTGGCCAATCGCAATGAAATGGAGCAAAGTCTACATATCACACCCGAATCAAAAGATCTTCCCCTTTTGGCTCAACTAGTAATGCGAGATTGGAAATTCAATGGGGACCAAGTGAGTTCTAAAAAGGTTGTTCAGCTACCAGATCCAGTAAATTCCATGCCTCAGCGATGCCTCAAGTTAAAGGAGGAGCTACAAGCTCTTCGAAAACAAAAAGTAGTCAAGGGGAAAGTTCAACAGCAAGACAAACTAGTTCAATACAATAGAAAACTGATTAATAATGATCCGTTCCGAACACCCATGACACCCAAGAAAACTAGTCCTCCAACTCATTTCCTTAAGAAAGATAGCTCTGAGTCTGATATTCTGGAATCGG